GTGGTGGTAGGTAGGTGGTGGCGGTGGTGGTGATGGTGGTAGGTGGTGAGGTGGTGGAGTGGTGGTGGTGAGTGGTGGTGGTAGGTGGTGAGGTGGTGGTAGGTGGTGGTGGTGGTGGTGGTGGGTGGTGGTGGTGGTGGTGGTGTTGGGTGGTGGTGGCGGTGGTGGTGATGGTGGTAGATTAATTGGTGGTAGGTGTGGTGGTGGTGGATGGTGGTGGTAGGTGTGGTGGTGGTGGGTGGTGGTGGTGGTGGTGGTAGGTGTTGGTGGTGGATGGTGGTGGTAGGTGGTGGTGGTGGTAGGTGGTGGTGGTGGATGGTGAGGTGGTAGGTGGTGGTGGTGGTGGTGGTAGGTGGTGGTGGTAGGTGGTGGTGGTGGTGGTGGTGGTGGTGGTGGTGGTAGGTGGTGGTGGTAGGTGGTGGTGGGTGGTGGTGGTGGTGGTGGTAGGTGGTAGTAGTAGTGGGTGGTGGTAGGTGGTGGTGGATGGTGGTGGTGGTGGTGGTGGTGGGTGGTGGTGGATGGTGATGGTGGTCAGGTGGTGGTGGTGGTGGTGGTGGTGGTAGTAGTAGTGGTTGGTGGGTGGTGTGGTGGTGGTGAGTGGTGGTGATGGTGGTAGGTGGTGGTGATGGTGGTACGTGGTACAGGTGGTAGGTGGTAGTAGTAGTGGTTGGTGATTAATTGGTGATGGTGGTAGGTGGTAGTAGTGGTTGGTAGGTGGTGGTGATGGTGGTGGTGGGTGGTCTTTGATGGATGAGGGGGTGGCTGGTCGGCAAACACATGGTCGATAGTGGGTGGCCTGGGCGGCGGGTGATGGATGAGCTGGTGGTGACGAGCTTGTGGGCGGCGGCAGTGGGAGGCGGCACTGGGAGGCGGCTGTGGGCGGCGGCAGTGGGAGGCGGCTGTGGGCGGCGGCAGTGGGCAGCGTCAGGGGGTAACAGAGACACAACAGGAAGACAACGGGACTGTAAGAATCACTGTTGGTTTCTGTTGAACCTAACCTGACAACAGTGATGAAGGTTTACTCTCTCTCTCAGTATAGTAAGGAACCCTCCATAAGCAATACTATCTAACTTTGTGAGTGAGGCGAGGCAGCCCGGGTCAGCCTCCTCCTTCACCTCGGTAAACCCTCTTAGTCAGTCGTTTGTGAGTGAGGCGAGGCAGCCCGGGTCAGCCTCCTCCTTCACCTCGGTAAACCCTCTTAGTCAGTCGTTTGTGAGTGAGGCGAGGCAGCCCGGGTCAGCCTCCTCCTTCACCTCGGTAAACCCTCTTAGTCAGTCGTTTGTGAGTGAGGCGAGGCAGCCCGGGTCAGCCTCCTCCTTCACCTCGGTAAACCCTCTTAGTCAGTCATCTTAACTTGGAGTATTTCTTCTAAGTTATCTTCTTTGAATTATTATCGTAAGTTATCTTCTTTGAATCATCGTAAATTATCTTCTGACTTACCTTTAAATTATTATCGTAGGTTTTCTTTTAAGTCATCTTTCTTAAAATCTTAACTTTAAATTATTCACATAAGTCAGGTTGCCACGTCGTGTATTAAATAACTGCAAAAGAAAAATGGCTTCCTTAAGTAACTTTCCTAACTTTCAAACCTTATTTCTAAAACTTATAAACAAAAAAGAAAATTATGAAAAATATTACCATTTGGGGGCGGGGCAGGGCTAGGCAGGGGGGGGGCGGGGCTAGGGGCAGGGCAGGGCAGGGCTGGGGGGCAGGGCGGGGCGGGGCTAAGGGGCGAGGTTAAATTTTGTAAACATGATTGTCATTTGTTTTAACACATACTAACTGACTGACTGACTTAAGTTACAACAAAAAAGATGGATTCTCAAAGTTTCTTAATACAGTAGTGGAGGAAGAGATTAAAATTGTACAATAAATTAAAAGACAATAAAAAGAACATAAGAAACGAAGTAGGGAGAAAGAAGGAAGAGAAAATAACAGTGAGGAGAAAAAATGAGTAATTATGAGAGAGGTGGTAGTAAACGAGAGGAGGAAAGAGAATTAATGATGTGGCAAAGCAGGAAGGAGAAGGCAAGAGAGAGAGACGGTGGATGAGAGGAGAAGGAGGAAGTAAGGGAAGAGAGGCAGACGGGTGGAGGAGAAGGAGAAAAAGGATGAAAGGAGAGGGAGGGGAGTGGGGAGGTTTCATGGTATAGTGAGGGGAGAGGGAGGAAGGTCGTGAGGGGAAAAGGAGTGGGGGGGAGAGAGTATTCGTAGGGTGAAAGAGGGGTCGTATCTACTCTCCCTGTTGTACTCTCCCTGTATCATCATGCTTTCCTCTCCCTGTACCAGTATGTCCTCTCTGTATCTCCCTGTTCTCCCTGTATCACCATGTTCTCCCTGTACACTATCAGGCCCAACAACCACATATTTGCTGTGTCCATTAGTGTAGGAGCGCTTTAAAGGGGAGGTGGCACTGGCCCTCTTCCACTACATACCTGGCCCTCCCTCCCTGCTGCCCGAGGGAGGGAAGAGTGGGGGGCAGCGATGGAGGGAAGGGAGGGAAGAGTGGGGGCAGGGAGGAAGCAATTGAGGAGGGAAGAGGGGACAGAAGGAGACAAATATCGGGTTGAAGCTTAGAAGTACTCCCTCACCCTTTGTTGCTACATGACAGAGGAGGGTAGAGAAGGGAGGGCATGGTAGAGTTGCAGTAACACTGGTCTGTATGCCCTGTTGCTGTTACCTGACGAAGGAGGGGAGGGCGGAGAGAGGCCATTTGCAACACACCCCTAACCACAGCTGTTATACACCTAGTAAGTTGATGAATATGAGAGAGAGAGAGAGAGAGAGAGAGAGAGCAGTTTGTTTGTATGTCCCTCTTTCTCCTTCCTTTTTTCCTCCTCCTTTTCCCTTCTTCCTTCTTCCTCCTGATTGAAACACAAGGCACAACAAGTGAGACATACAGACACACATACAGACACACATACTCACACATACAGACTCACACACAGACACTTATTCCCATCTACTTAGTGTACACAAATCACTTAATAGCAGTGATGGACAAGAAGTAGAAATATAGTGATGGTGGAGACGTCAACACTGAGAGTGAGAGTGAGGGAGGGAGGGTGAGGGAGAGTGAGGGAGGGTGAGGGAGTGTAGGAAAGGGAGGGAGGTGAGGGGAGAGAGGGAGGGGGAGGGAGGGTGAGGGAGAGTGAGGGAGGGTGAGGGAGTGTGAGGAAGAGTGAGGGAGTGTGAGGGAGGGTGAGGGAGTGTGAGGGAGAGTGAAGTAGGGGCCAGAACTCCATCTCGTTGGCTGGGTAAGGGCAGTTTGTTACACACCTCGACAGGTTAATTACAATTATTCACCTGGTGATGCTGTATAGCCTTAACTGCTCTGTATAAGGGTGTATGTGTGTTGGTGGTGTATGCGTGTTGGTGATGTGTATGTGTTGGTGATGTGTATGTGTTGGTGATGTGTGTGTGTTGGTGATGTGTGTGTGATGGTGGTGTGTGTGTGTTGGTGGTGTATGTGTGTTGGTGGTGATGTGTGTTTGTTAGTGATGTGTCCCTGTGTTTGTTAGTGATGTGTATGTGTGTTAGTGATGTGTCCCTGTGTTTGTTGGTGCTGTGAAAAGTTATTGTTATCATACATGGTGTGGTTGGTTGGTTGGTTTGTGTATGGGACACTATTGTACTTGCGAGAATGTTTTCTTTGTTTGTTTGTTTAAATGCGAGAGAAAGTTGTTGGTGTGGTAGTGTTTGTGTGTTTGGTTTGGATGTGAGAGTAAATTGATTTGCCTCCATTTATTAGTGTAATAAAAAGTTTGTGAGGTGCTCCCCCCATACATACATACGAACATACATACATACATACATACATACACACACAATAACAGTTTCAGAGCAAGGTAAGGAATAAAGCTGCTCTCTCTCTCTCTCTCAGTCTTTATCTACCCACCCTTCACCCACTACCCACTCCCACCAATACCCATCGCCCAGCCCACCCACAACCCATTAATACCCACTGCGTACCACCCACAACCCATTAATACCCACTACTTACCCCCACAACCCATTAATACCCACTACTTACCCCCACAACCCATTAATACACACTGCGTACCACCCACAACCCATAGATACCCACTACTTACCCCCACAACCCATTAATACCCACTACTTACCCCCACAACCCATTAATGCCCACTACATACCACCCACAACCCATTAATGCCCACTACTTACCCCCACAACCCATTAATACCCACCACCCACCAGCCATTAATACCCACAACCCCTCATCACCCACCCAGCCACCCATTATACTGTTGCTCGTCGTAATTCAATTGTTACCAGCAGCCGCCCCGGTCTTATATACTGTACATTAGTGTTTTGTCTGCTCCTTACTTACCTGAGAGAGAGAGAGAGAGAGTTACCTGGGTCATATTAGAGACAGACAGACAGAGGGGCGAGAGAAATGGTGCTAAAGACAGAATGAGAGAGAGAGAGAGAGAGAGAGAGAGAGAGAGAGAGATTCAACACTTAGCACCACCCACAACACTAAACCAATACACAACACCTGGAGCTTTTATCCAAATTAAACTTACCTGTATAGTTACCTACCTGTATAGTTACCTACCTGTATAGTTACCTACCTGTATATTTACCTACCTGTATATTTTAACTCGTTAGCAGACTTATCTGTGTGGATAGTTTAGTGACACCTGGATAGATTCGGGTTCTTGTCTTAATTGATACAGATGAGGGTAATTAACTGGTTTATGTGAAGGTAGATATATAATTAGTGTGATAAATAAGAGTGAGATATTATATACAATAAAGAATCAGAAAAGCATAGCTGGTAATATAGAAAATCATAGATGTTATAGAGAAAAATCATAGCTGGTAATATAATTCTCGATATATAATGAATCAGGGCGGTGGGAGGAGGAGAAGCAGGGAGTCTGGCGTGAGGCTGCGTGAAATTTGTATGTATTATTCAGTAGTCAGTTGGCAGGAATTAGCCAGACCTCGCTATATCACGCCGCTACCTCCTACAGTTGGCTATATCACGCCGCTACCTCCTACAGTTGGCTATATCACGCCGCTACCTCCTACAGTTGGCTATATCACGCCAAGGAAGAGAGAAACGGGAGAAAGTTGATGTGAAAGAAGAAGAGGAAAAGAAAGCAGGAGAAAGTTGTAATAGAGAATAG